GCATTCCTGTGACAGAATCACTCGGAGGGGAATAGACAAAGAAATCGCCCACGGAGACTGAACCACGGCCTGATCCGTTCATGAGAGCATTGAACATGGAGTATGCATCATGCTCCATGAATTTCTCGGACAGGACAATTCCGAGTTCGCCCTCCGCTCCATATGCATCGCTCAACAGCACGACAGTCTGGGTCTCGGGGTCAAGTTCGTCGAGACTCTTTGGTTTCTTCGCGCTTCCGAGGGGACCAGGCTCATCTTCCATGGAATCCAAGAACTTTTTTATATCAAAATTATATGGAGATTCACGTTCTTGAAGGGCTAATTCGTCAAACAGGTCAGTGAAGTGATCTTCATAGGTTTTTCGCACTTCAGCAAGATATTCCACGTCAACATGTAGAACATACAGCAGTGGAGCCAAAAGTTCATGCATCCCTGCCAAAAAAAAACAAAAACAATAGACACTGTTAACATGTTATCACATCTATAGCACCCGAAATCTTACTCTGACTGCCATTTTAAAGGAAGAAAATGACCAATACATTATCTAACATATCAGTACATGAACGGGTTGTGTCCCTCCACCCCAAGTACATTATTGATCGCATAGCAATCGATTCTAGAGACTATTTTCCCTAAATATTCTCAAGAAGCATCTCCATATCACTGCCTTGTAGAAAAGTATGAAACTTCAAAACGAAGAAGACGAGTAAATATGGTTAACGCCCTTAAAGACCGACGAGAAAAGTAATTACCTTGTCTATATCCAAACTCAGGATGCCTAAGACACCATAAGAGAAGTATACGTCTTAACATGCCTTGACAACCCGGTGACTGAAAGTAACTACCATGCTCGGGATAAAGCCGGGACAGGTCTTGGTCAAGTGTTTTCTCCAGCTCTGCATTTCGGAAGAATCTTCCCCATGTGCTGTCTGAACATCACAGGTTTATACATAAGCAACATTCATGGCGCATGTTAAAGAGACACCATGACAGAGAGTTGGAGCATAACATAAACATATAGAGACAGATTTTCGAGAACTGGGGTTGGTTACCTGGGTTTTGTGACAATGGATTATCGATGGCGAGATCTGGAGAATTGCGTCCGTCCTTAGGCAAATGTGGATCAACCAAGAAACGCCTTCTCAGAGCAGCGTATCTGAGAAAAGAACAAATCGAGACTGTTCTTTTCAGACAACGTATGAATAATCTCAACCCACATAGTTAAACAAAGAACATAACCTTTTGTTTATGCAGAAACAGAACTGTAACAGGAAACGAGCTCTGATTACTGACACACAGACTTGTCTGGAGGATTTGATGATAACTCTGGGTTTGAATTGGGGATTACAATTGCAATAATGAAATCCAGGAAGCGAGTTCATGGGTCAGGAGAAACGAAGCGAAAAAAGCGAAATCTTTAAGAAGATGTTACTATCATCCTAATGACAATGGTAAATGCAAGTCAGCCATGGAAACATCAGGAAAACATTGATAGATTTTGGGCAAAACACGAGATATACCCAAAACGATTTCTCGGCAAACTCTTCGGGAAAATGAAATTGCAAGCTACGACTGAATCAAAAAGCAAAAAGATTTAAGAAAAAGGAGTGACCTTCGCCTGGAATCAGCGGTTACTCTGCGAAGCTCATCAATGGAGGACGACGGAGAAGAAGGTAAAATCCCTAGGTTTATACGCCACCTTACGCCTCGAAGCTTCTCGAAACGGCGATCGCCGGACGTCGAGACGACCGAGGTGCATTGCTCCTCCATCATCGCCTTGTCCGTTTCTTCAGCTATCGCCATGAAAACCGCACCTTTTCCTTCATCCACTCTCGATTTCGTGCAAGCCGATCACAATACAAACAATTTACACAAAAAGAAACAATGGGTTTTGATTGGATAGCGAACTTGCGAATTAAATTACAGAACTTTCTCTCGACAAAACGAATCAATTGAATTCCTTTTTTTCCTGGGGGCGGGATTGAGAGCGGAAACGCTGGGATCAGGCTGCGAAACGGCGTACGGATGAAACAGCAGAGAAAAAGAAATCAGTCGACAGCGAATTCCCCCTCCGCCTCCGCCTGAAATGTAAAAAAATCTTGGAAAAAAATTTAGAATAAGTATCCGAAGAAATCAAGATTATTAATTTCCTCGCATGAAATGAAAACAAAGGTCATTTAAATGATAAAAACTTGAGAATAATATATATTATCTCTTTTTTGTCCGGAAAACAAAATTCATATTTTTGTAGAGAATATTCTCACACACAACATAAAAATTCCAAGGGATAATCATCACTGCCTCATAATTCCACCAAGGAATTATAAGTACAAGTGATTTGAAAATGAAAAGAATGATTTATATCAATATCTGTTGGCATTTCTATACAAAAAAGAAATATATATATATATATATTTTTTTTTTTTTTTAAAATTTCTATAACCTTTACCTTCCTGCAACATCAACCATACTCAAACCATGTTCCTTTTTCAGTCCACTTCCCTTCAACATCTCCCTCACCTCTGCAGCATCGTCCCACATCTCATCTGAAGCATACAAACTTGACAACATAACATAAGGAGATGCTGAACCCGTTGGATGAAACCTTAGAAGCTTCTTGGCCAACCGTTCGCCAATAGCCTTCTCTCCGTGCACCCTACAAGCCGAAAGCAAGCTTCCCAACGCGACCGGGTCATTCCAGAATCGCGGGTTTTTCCTCATGTATTCATCCGCTTCTCGTAATCTACCTGCCCGACCCAACAGATCGATCAGACAGGAGAAGTGTTCGACGTTTGGGGAGATACCATATGTTTCTTCCATTGACTTGAACAGATTCAAGCCCTTCTCCACCAGTCCTGCGTGATTACAAGCTGTCAGAACATTAAGGAATGTCACTGAGTCAGGTTCTGGTCCTCTGTTCTTCATTTCGTCGAAAAGCTCTAGAGCTTTGCTTCCCTGGCCATGGTTCCCTAGCCCAGCAATCATGGTATTCCATGAGACAAGGCTGTGCTGGTTCATTCTGTTGAAAACAGCCCAAGCATAGCCGATAAATCCACATTTAGCATACATGTTAACGAGTGCGTTCTCCACTTCCACATCTTGGTTTGGCCTCGCCCTTATTAGATGGGCATGGATCTGCTTGCCATTGTGGATTGAAGTAAGCCCAGAACATGCCGTTAGGACGCTGGCAAAAGTGAATTCATCGATGTTAACATCCGCACCACTAAACATCTTTCTGAAAGCACTCAAACCCTTTTCCTCTTCCCCACAATGGGAACAAGCAGAAATAAAAGAATTCCAGGAGACAACATCTTTCTCAACAATCGATAAGAACACCTTCTCAGCTTGTTCTAGCATACGAAACTCTGAGTACATTGTGATCAATACATTACCTATAAACAGGGTTGAGTCAAGTTTGAGTTTGATTGTCTGGCAATGAAATGCAATGCCTTTACGTTGATCTCCCGTGTTAGTACAGATCTCCAATAATCCTACAAAAGTAAAACGATCAGGCGTTATCCCCTGATGGCACATAGATCTGTACACTTCAAATCCTTTCTCCCCCATCTTGTTTTCTGCAAACCCAGCAATCAAGGCATTGTTTGACACGAGATTTGGTTCTGACATCCCCTGATAAACCAATAAAGCATCGCCAGAGCATCCACATCCCATGTAGAACGAGATGAGAGAATTAGAAACGAATGAAACTGGTGCGTATCCATGTTTGAGAGAATGAGCATGGATTTGCCTCCCCATCTCATGCTCCTTAAGGTTGGAACAAGCACTAATGACACTAGCGTATACGTATTCATTGGGCACAATCCTCAGATTCGAGAAAAGCTCGAGAGCCAGTGAATACTCACGGGCTTGGTCATAACCCGAGATCATAGCCGACCACGAGACAAGATTTCTTTCAGACATTTCATCGAACAACTTACGAGCAAGCTTCGTTCCCCCGCATTTTGCATACATATTGAGGATGTGATTTGAAATGACAACGTCCGCTTCGAAACCCACTTTAACAACACGAGCGTGAAGGGAAATCCCATAACACAAATCCTTCATCCTCGAGCAACGATGAAGAAACCAACCTATAGCTTCTGCTATCATATTTAGTGCTCAAGCTTCAAGCTTCAACATCTCCAAAGCTACGATTCACAGAAAAAAGTTGTATGACAGTGTAAATTCCGAGCTTTCTTCCACCCACAACCAAAAATTCGAGCTTTCCACGATTCCTGCCGGATTTCAGCTACGGACTCACAGAAAAATATGGAGTTACAAAGAAATTTCCGTTTTCTCACCGATTCATGTCGCATTCTAGAAACTGCCATTGGTACCGGAGAGACTGTCGGGGAAATACGGCGGAATGACTCGATCTTAGGTGACTGGAGAAGAGGTCTTAGAAACTCCCAAGTTCGCCTCATTTGCTGGTCAACTTATTTACACTGGTGGTGGAGTGGTTTGAATCTAAGGGAAATACTGGGGTTGAAAAATAAAGCTAATGGAAATATGGGGTCCATTTACAATTACCACTAAAACCTGAGCCATTTTGCCGAATTCAACAAGTTATGAACTGACCTATAGGCAGTGGTCTGTCTCACCTCATGTAGCAGCTCCTCGATTCGAGCTCAAAGAACTGTAGAACGGTGAAGCAGCGAAAATCTCTCAGGTGTTTTTCTCCTCAAATTCCCTTCTGAACGTTACGTTTTTTACTTCAAAATCTGTTAAAAATGATAAAAGAAAGAGCAAAAATCGATTTTCGCCCTTCATGAAAGCCAACATGCGTGTGAGATGAACGATCTTCATTCCTTTCTTTAGAAATTTTGAGTCTCTGTCGAAATATATGCTGTATTGCATATTATTGTTACATCCATATGATTGAAAAAACTGAGCTTTGTTTTTTTTTTTTCTGATAAAGGCCGGAACAATTTATCCGGCTCCTTCTGGTTGGTGAAATTTGAATTCATTATATGGGGATCCAGTTATTGTAACTCTCAGTGATTTTTCGATTGGGATTGGTGTCTTCTCGATTTGTGATGGGTTTCGATTACTAAGTTTTCTTCTAAGGGATCGTGCTGATGTTGTTCGATGAAATGCCTGAAAGAAAAATTGCCCATTAATCTTAGTCTCGTCCTTTTTGTTCTTTAGGGGATCAAACTTGAAATTTGTTTATACTGAACTTGATTGATGAGTATAATTGTGCATTGCCCTACACAAGTTGGAAAGAGAGTGTAAGTGTTAACAAGAAGAGACGAATTTTTGCGATCTTTTCTGTCTTATGGTTTGTTTAAGTTGCGCACGATTTTCAGGATGGAAGAGAAGCCATTTTTAGATAGAATGCTTCATCATCTTCGTGCATCTTGCAAGTACGGCAGTACATTTCTTTTCATAATTCTATCCAAGAGAACGCCTATGATCTTATTTCTTACCCCCTTTTTTTTCGATGCTGGGGATGAAGGTATTACACTGGCTACCCAAAGGATCTCGGGCCGTCACGGGTTATTCATTTTACGTCGGAAAGAGAATTTGTTCAACTCCTTCACGAGGGTCATCCCGTGGTTGTGGCATTCACCATAAGGTAACTCACTAGCTATGAGCTCCTAATTATATTCCTCTAGCTATGCATGAAATCTGCAAGTTTGCTTTCTATTATACAGAGGTAACTACACGATTCATCTTGATCGGGTGCTTGAGGAAGCTGCTACTGAGTTCTATCCCAACATAAAGTTTATGCGTGTGAGTTATGTCATGTTTCAAGATCGACACAGGGACCAAACGATTTCATCCGAGCGTTTTTTCACTTGATTGGTCTTTTTGAGTTTTCTCAGGTTGAGTGCCCCAAATATCCCGGATTCTGTATAAAGCGCCAGAAGAATGAATACCCTTTCGTCGAAATATTCCATAGTCCGGAACAAGTATTGCTCTCCCTCTCTCTCTCCCCATGCTGGTGTTCTTCCTGTATCTTAAGCTGTGTAAAACCATGAATGCTCTTTTATTTGTCTCCTAAATAAAATCTTTCTGATGCAGGCGGCTGCTAATCAAGGAAAGGTTTTAGATCCAAATATCACCCGATATTCTGTAAAAGTTCTGCCCGTAAGTTCATTTCCTTCAACAGAAACGAATCTGTGTTTCCCGGAGACTTGCAAGAAAACGATTCTATGATCATCGGGAAAGAGCTTTCTTTCCCCATAATAAACCTATGCCCACAAAAAAGAAAGAATCTCTGTTAATTCTTGCCATAGCATAGCCTAATGATCGGGTTTTTGTTTCTTTTGCCAGTTCAATTATGATATAAGCCCTTACGGGTTCAGAGAATTCTTCAAGCGCCATGGGATACGCACTTCGGATCCAAAATGAAATGTTGAAGAAGACTATTTATTAGTGCAACAATGGCGCCTCTGGCTACCAAAGGGCCGTTTAGAAGATGATATTTTTTTTTCCCTTAACATTTCTTGAATCTCGTTACGTCTAAAGTCTGTAGTTTGGTCCGAAACCCATTTGACTGAGGTGTGAGGGAAACGAATGAATGGTTAAAGAACAAGATCCCGAATACATGGCTTCAAATCTTCTCCGCCTGCTTCTAAGCCTCTTCAAGAACGTACGACCTCTCTCTCTTTTTCAGGTAATCCCTTTGCCGGATAGATGAATTATGCTGCTCTTTTTCTGCCTGAAACTTAACTTATAAGAAATCCAGTCTGTGTATATATGTGTGTGTATATATATATATATATATATATATATATATTGCAACACTCAAAGCTCATCTTCAGACCACCGTCACTCGGGCTCCCATTGTCATGCCACTTTCCTCCCGAGTCAAGTATCAAACGACTTTTGCATGTATACAAAGAGCGATTGTTTGGATTTTTGGTTATATTCGGGTTCATTTAGTTCAATTTTAAGTTTATAAATATTCGATTATTATATTGAATTCGGTTTAGTTTTTATTGATAAATATATTAAAAATTTTAAAATATTTATTATTATTATTATTATTATTATTATTCTAGTTTTTATTTTTTCAATTAGAAAAATCATAATAGCTAATTCAATTTTATTACAATTATTGTACCGAGTTTTGCGTTGTATTTTAGAAAAAGTTGAGAAATTATGATTGGGTCGATTAAAAATTAAAGCCCAATTGGAATGGATTTTTATCTATAAAGGCCCATTTACCTAATAAGCCCATTAGGATCAACCCAAACGTTGTAAATATATACTAAAATGCTAAATCTTACAAAACTCATATCTCACTAAAACCCTAAATCTTGCTGCAAGCCCTAAATCATGGCGAATCGACCTGAGTTGCTTGCTCCGCCGGAGATTTTCTACGACGATACTGAGGCTCGCAAGTATACTTCTTCTTCCCGTATCGTCGAAATTCAGGTCTCGCCGTGTCCAGATTTTCCGACTGTTTCCGGAGAAAAACAGCTACCCAAGTCCGTTTCTTCGGAATTTGACTGTTTGTTTCGATTTCTGCGATTGGTAGGCCAAGCTGTCGGAGCGAGCCTTGGAGCTTCTTGCTTTGCCTGATGACGGAGTTCCCAGATTGCTGCTTGATATCGGTGAGCTCTTAATCTTTCAGGGTTGATGTGATTATATCCGCCTATAGTTGTGGGAACAGTTCTATTCGTTTGCGATAATTTGGTTCAGGGATTCAATGGGTTTTCGTTTTCTGGAAATTTGGTAGTGCTAATCTATTAGTCACGCTATATCATCTGGAGGATGTAATCTCTTCAGGGATTGTGTTGATGTTCTTAGGTCGTGTATAATTTTCCCCTACTTTCAATTCGTGTATCAATGCACATGTTTCTGCTGATTTTACTGAAAGTTGCTAAACAGTAAGTTGAGACTTCTGGATCCAGCCAATTGATTGGGATTTATACTGTGTTTCGATTCTTAAAGCATCAATTAGTTCATAGTTGCAATTTCTTCCATGGCTTACCAAGCAGTTTGTTTGACTTTGATATAAGAGTAGAGGATGATTTTTTTCCATGTGTTTCAGGTTGTGGATCTGGTCTCAGTGGAGAGACGCTGTCTGAAAACGGTCACCAATGGATTGGTTTGGACATTTCGGCCTCGATGCTTAGTATGTGGTAGTTACTTATATTTTATCCGATTCTCCTTTCGTTGTGGAGTGTTTTCTTTATATCCCTGTTTTTGGTAGAATTGAATAGCTTTTTTTGCTCCTTAAATCACATTTTAGATGTTGCTCTAGAACGAGAAGTTGAGGGTGATCTTTTTCTTGGCGACATGGGGCAGGTATAATTCTCCTTCGGGGCTCCTCTGTGGCTATCTGCATTTTCACTATGCCTTGTGATAGTTAATTCTGAATGTTCAGTGTTTCCTTATCCCTTTATACTATGTTTCAGGGCTTAGCCCTTCGTCCTGGAGTTATGGACGGAGCCATCAGCATATCTGCTGTTCAGGTTTAACTTGCTGTCTCTTCATTGATAACTTTGCTCTTCCGGGTCTTGTCATTCTTGAAAATCACTGAATTCTTTTCAAGTCTGATTGAATATTTTATGAATTTGTGGTTGTTTACAGTGGCTATGCAATGCAGACAAGTCATCCCATGAACCTCGTTTGAGGATGAAGTATGCCAACTTCTTTTCTTCCCGCGATCGAAATCGAAACAAAACAATGTGCTGTGATGTAAAACTGATGGCTTTTTCCTGTTTATCTTAATTCGTTAGGGCTTTCTTTGGTTCATTATACCGATGCTTAGGAAGGGGAGCAAGAGCGGTATTCCAAGTGTATCCAGAGAACATAGCTCAGCGTGAATTGCTTCTACGACAGGCCTTGCAGGCTGGATTTGGGGGTGGAATTGTTGTTGACTTCCCACACAGGTATTAATATTGTTGTTGCAGTTTGGTTAATTTTTGCGCCTTAGTGTTGCTTGGCAACTCAGAGACGTAAGCCATTGTTCTCATCAGAATGCAAGTTTGTGCTCATGCCTAGAGCTGGTCTCAAGATTCAAAATCATGATCTGTACATGCATGCTGAGGCTATTTATGTGTTCTGGTGATGAAAACTCTTTTCTGTACACTAGCTAACAGAAGGGTATGTTATATGGCAGCACCAAGAGGAGAAAAGAGTTTCTTGTTCTCACATGCGGGGCTCCGTCTCTGAGCTCAGCTGTTCCGGCCGGTAAAGGTGAAGATGGAGAGAGTTGTTCGGACGAAGACGGTAGTGAAGATGAAGAAAATGGAATGGTAAGGCCTAATAAAAGTCTTGTAATTGGTAAAAGGCTTGTGTTTGGAGATGGTAAAGTTAAAAAAACTCTTGCTTTTTTTTTTGTTTTGGTAAAATGGTAAAAAAACAAAAGCAGGTGGGGGTGTCGGAGAGGCAGAGGCCAAGGAAGAAGCAGAGGACGAACAAGAAGGGGAAAGTGGGGAGGGAATGGGTGCTGAAGAAGAAAGAGCAGATGCGTAGGAAAGGCAACGTGGTTCCTCCCGACTCTAAATACACTGCCAGGAAGCGCAAGTCTCGTTTCTAGTCTCTCCTCCCCTCTCTTCCTTTCCTTTTGTTTTGCTTGTGTGCGCTCTTATAAAAATTCATTATACTTTTTTGTATTAAAATTATGTTATACTTAGATTATATAAATATTCAAGCTTTGAACAGTTGCGAGCAGTCCCCAAATGTTTAAAACAATTACTAGGATTAGTGAGTGAAACATTGAAGGAGACGTCTAGTCGAAGAGGGAGAAACCAAAGTCGCCTTCTTCCTCTTCCTCAACTTCCTCCTTCTTCTCCTCCTTGGGTGCCTACGCTGCCTCCGCCCGGTGCAGCTCCTCCGGCTACGAATCCTCATCCAACAGATTCACCGATGATCAGTGTACCTGGCAGAAGGCGGAGGAAGGAGTGATGAGGGAGAGGGAGGTCTGAATTCCGCCGGAGGAGTCGGCGGAGAGGGCGGTCTGGACGAGCTTACGCTGGAGATCGTAGGTGGAAGAGGCGGAGGCCTCGAGCTCTCCCTCGTGCTGCTTCGCCGTCCACTCTCCTCCGCTGTTTCTGCACACGAGCATGAACACTCCCATTTTTCTTCTCCCCCCTGGAGCTGCGACAACGATGGCGACTCGCGGGTACGAATGTGCGTGTATATAATATTATATCTTTATACGTGACGAACAAAGGAAAAAACACAGGGAACCGCAAGCCCTAAGATGGCCCGGAGTGAAAAGACGTTTTCGGCCTTAGACGGATATATATCGGACTAACCCGGGCTTCCAGATAGAAACAACGAAACTTGCGTTTAAATTTTTCTAAAAGGCCCAAATCCTTTGAGCCCATTAAAATTCTTCCGGATTTCCTTACTGTGTGCACGTAAAAGAAAAATGTATGCATGCGTCTACGCACCGAAATAATTAATAACACAATGTTTTTATTTTTTTAATTTTCTTTAGGTAATGCACACGAATGTGATTATCTTACGTTTCATGCATGGCCAAGTCTCTCTCTCTCTCTCTCCCCCCATTTCTAAGTATAACCTCAATTAGCGGGAAATCTGACCACAAAACTCGTTTATTTTTCTCGGATCATCACATTTTTCTTCATTTTCCCAGGAAAATCTTCAGATCTGTGCAAATACAAAATTCAGAGGATATACGTACACATCCTGCATTTTCCCGTGGTTCATTCAATGTCATAAATCCGTGAAGGTACTTGAATCTGTTTCCTCCGACTCGTTGATCCTACTTTAGTTAAATTAGCTAAAATTGAAACCAAGTTTGGCTGTAGTTTCAAGGGGGTGGTGTGATTAATAATGGCTTAAGTTTCATTTTCATGTGTTTCCTGTTGCCCATTGGTTTCCACCGTTCACCGTTTCTCTCATCTTGCATTCCATGGTTTCCCACAAATTTTGCGTGTGATTTCACCGTTCAGAGAATTTTTCCCCACGAAATTGAATCTGGGTTTGTCTCAAAATCAGTTCTTTTTCCCATGATTCTTCCTGCCAATGAATCCATTTGAATATTCCTTTCCCTAGAATTATCTATATGGATTTTAAGGATTTTCCCTATGTTTGATTCGACAGGTGAATTTCTCTTGCTCAAGCTCTTTTGATGATGTGAAATTCAGTCATCTTGATACTCTTTGTTCTTGATACAGAGAATGATCTACATTCCAGAACAAATGCGAAATCCAATAAGATTCATGCATCGATTAGAATGCCTAGTCTTTGCTAGTTTCAGACATTTTGATACTCACATCACATTAATTACGATGCCATTTTTTCCCCTTTCATTCTGTGTGCATTGTATTGATTTCAATATAATGTTTTTCTTTTTGCTGGCATTGTCGATACCTATGTCCCAATTTTGCTTGCTTCAGGTACTCACATTGCACGTTTTGAATGACCCTTTCTGCTCCATTCAAGCAATATGATACCTACATTGTACATAATGCCATGCTTTCGCTTGGTTGTGCTGATCGTATTGGTTAGAATATCTTGCTTTCCCCTACATTTTATAGAACAGAATGCCCTGGTTTGACTTGTTTCAGACACTGTGGTTCCTACATTGTTTCGGTTAGAATACCATGTTTCTGGTTGTCTCAGACACTGTGCATAGGATCAGTCAGTCTTATTCATTCGTTTTGTTGCAGATTAGGTTGTTTCAAATCTAGGAAGCTGATATAAACTTTTAAGCTCCCAAACAGGCATGGCCTTTTCCATGAGAAATTTGGATCCAGCACTTCAAGGAGCTGGGCAAAAAGGGTATCTTTCTTTTAGTTCGATTTTTACATATTTTTTCCCTTTCATTTATATATCTTGAACGTCATATTTTTGGTATATCTTGTTCCATATCTGTGCCTTAACGTTTGTGTAGTGGGATTGAGATATGGCGCATTGAAAGCTTTAAGCCAGTTCCCATTCCAAAGGATTCTTATGGTAAATTTTTCACCGGCGATTCCTATATTGTCTTGAAGGTAGGTGGTCTTTCTTGTTTCTTCTTAGGTTAATGTTGTATTCTTCTTTCGTGATCAGTTGGTTGCAGTAACATTTTCTAACAATTCGTTTGCCAGACCACAGCATCAAAAAGCGGGGCCTTGCATCATGATATTCACTATTGGCTCGGTAAAGATACCAGTCAGGTATAAGTCTGCTCTATCATAAATCTGAAATTTTGTGCCAAGATCAACCATGTACAGCTGATGGTTCAGGAGATTATGCTTTCTGGTTCTTGTAAACGTTTTCGAGATGATGTAATGTGTCACTGCCATATGCATGCTTACCATTCATGTTATCTTCCAATGTGTTTCTTCATTCATATGATGGTGGATTTGAGGGATTTGTGGTGGTTTATTGATCAAAACAGGATGAAGCGGGTGCTGCAGCGGTCATGACTGTTGAACTAGATGCAGCACTAGGTGGACGTGCTGTTCAGTACCGGGAAGTTCAGGGACACGAGACCGAGAAATTTCTTTCGTACTTCAAGCCTTGTATAATACCCCAAGAAGGTGGAGCTGCTTCTGGGTTCAAACATGTAGAACCTGAAGAATATCAAACACGTCTGTACGTCTGCAAAGGAAAACATGTTGTCCATGTCAAAGAGGCGAGTCAATCAACACGACGTTTTCAACTGCTGACGAGTTTTTCCCGATTGCTTTTCTGAAGCTATTTTGTTTTCTCATTTACAGGTTCCATTTGCTCGGTCCACTCTCAACCACGACGATGTTTTCATTCTCGATACGCAGTCTAAAATTTTTCAGTTCAATGGATCCAACTCAAGTATTCAAGAAAGAGCAAAAGCACTCGAGGTTGTTCAGTATATTAAAGACACCTACCATGATGGAAAGTGCGACATTGCAGCTGTTGGTCGGTGAACTAAAACATGGAACCTGAAAACTATGTGCTTGTTTATATACTTCTTGAATGTAAATTTCTTAATTTTGTTTTGCAGAGGATGGGAAATTAATGGCTGATGCTGAAGCCGGTGAGTTTTGGGGTCTATTTGGCGGGTTTGCTCCACTTCCAAGGAAAACAGCCAACAATGAGGACACGGCTGATGGTTCTGATGAAATTCAGCTCTCAAGGTAAATTTCCTTCAATCTAATCACACGCTTAAATAAATACAAAAAAGTACGGAAACTCAAGTATCTGCCCATCTACTCGTTGATTAGTTCAATCTCTTTAGAAAAGTAGATCTTGTCTTATCAATCGATTATCTCAACAGATGTTTATGGTCTGATACGAAACATGTTCGGTCTTTGTAGTGCTGAGAAGGGACAGGTAGAACCCGTTGAGGCCGAGTCTCTACAGAGAGAGCTATTGGACACTAACAAATGTTATATTCTGGACTGCGGGCTAGAATTATTCGTTTGGATGGGTCGAAGTACTTCGGTCAATCAAAGAAAGAGTGCGAGTGAATCTGCAGAAGTAAGTTTTCTTCTGCGCTCGGAAAATATTTGTGTATTTCTTGGCTTTGTTCACTGTTGTATTGTCTCTGTTCATCTGGTCAGGAGTTGCTCCGTTCATCTGGACGACCACAATCTCACATCATTCGTGTGATGGAGGGATTTGAAACGGTGATGTTCCGGTCGAAGTTTGATTCTTGGCCAGAAACTAGTAATGCAGCACCATCCGAGCAAGGCAGAGGCCGAGTAGCGGGTCAGTGTTATAGTCCGCTCTT